ATTATTTGTTTATTCTTCAAAATAACCAAAATTGATTAATCTGTGAAGAAATCTGTATTAATGGATTTAAGCAATAATAAAAAGATATTTGATATAAAAAACTGCTTAGTTATGATTCATCAAATTAAATCAACATTTTAAAATGTATTTCTTTATATTTACGAGTTCTTCCCAGGTAACATTCATCAAATATAAAGTCTAAAAAAACAGCTGGTTAATATTTGCTGATTCGGGTAGATTGTTGTTAACTTACTGAATAAGTGCTATGGGAACAATCCAAATTATATTTATTGATCTGTAGCTCCAATCAGAAGACCCAACTTCCGTTTTCCTAATTTTCACAATAAAAGTCCTGGCTATAATTTCTAACTTTCACTATAAGAACGCTTTTTGTATTTTTTACTTTTACAATAAAATGTACTAATAAATAAGAAAATATTTACACTGAATTTGTTTGTTAGTTTTGTATTTAAGGGCAGTGGCTTTCAAACTGGGGTCCGGGGACCAACGGGGGTCCTTGAGGGGAATGTAGGGGGTCCCAGCATTGATTTTAATTCGATTGACTTTAAAACTATGACACCTAAAAATAAAACCATAACCCAGACGAGATTCCTGAAGAAAAAATCCTCTCACATTGGGGGTCAAGTTGTAAAAGTTCGGGGACCCTTGTTTTATGGTGATGCTGACAACTTGGAAAGCAACATTAGCCTGCAGTGATTACAGTTACTCACACTGATGTAATCTGATTACATATAGTCTGTAGAGCCAGAATTTTCTTTTAGAGAGATTTAAATTTAAAACGGAAAACTAAGAAGAATCCTGATTTATAAAAAATAATGAATCAGACTGAGTTCAAGATTATTTGGTACAAATTAAAGACAACATATTTCTGAGAGCAGTGCGCACTGTAAAAATAAATGTATAAACCTTTATATATGACTGAGTCTATTATGGGGTGATGCAGTTCCACGGCACTACAGGTTGGTGGGAGTCACCAAAAACTATGAAAACAAAAAGGCAAAGCAACTTTATTTGTACAGAACAGCAAGAAAATTCGAAGTGCTTTCTATAAAACAACAAGGGCATCAAGACAAAATGTAGAAGCAACATAAGGCAATAAAAAGACATTTAAATCTATAATATACAAAGTATAAACTCTAGAGCTATGTTTTATATGGAGTTAATTCAATCAATAATCTATAATCAATGGCGTCACATCCCCTTTGTGCCTGCATCAGTGTTGTGGTTGTCTGCCAGAAGCTGTCATACATTGACTGTTTATCATCCACTGTTTAGACCTTGGTGCTTTTTAAGTCAGAGGTCTGGATCTAAGTTACCAGAGAAACAAGCTGAGGTAATTATTACATATTGTACGTTTGAATACAATGAAATAATGTAAGTTAAATCGTTGATTAAAAACTAGCGAGTCAACAACTTTACTAAGAGCCAAACATCAACAAGGTCAACAACAGCAGACACACGCAGCAGTTACTTTACTGTCCATCAGGAAATTCTGTGAATCACAGAAAGTTGAAGCTGAGCAACCGGAGGACGTCATTGACAGTTGCTGGTGTTTGACTTACTGCCATAATGCAGCCAGTGGGGGAATGCTGATAGGGAGAAGAGCTGGAGCAGAATCAGAACCACAGCAGGCAACACAACCGGGCTCAGCTGAGGAAGCTAAGAGAAAAAGGAGAAAAGTACGCCAGGAGAGAGTAAATGTGTTTAGTGGTTGGTGAAATAAAAGGCAGCAGACAGAACGATTCTTGCTGGTGGAAGAGTCAGTAATATTAGCTGCTTGCTGTGTCTGCTGTTGTTGATGTTTAGCTGTTAGCAAAGTTGTCAAATTACTAGTTTTTGATCATAACAAATGTACAGCTGTCCATGTTTACCAAAAACTGAATCTCCACCAAATCTCACACAGCCCAATTTACACAAAAGCATGCTTCAGTTCTAATAATAAATACTGAGCACAACATGGTAGGGCTCACTGACAGTGTGTCTCGATGCACACCTTCTATTTTGATTCAAAGAGTACACCAGAAGTTTAAACATTTTTTAGTATTAAACTAATACAAATATTTGTCACTAACAGATAGCTAAATTAATGACATCAGAACTGCTAACTGACCTACAATTGACATGCTACATGCTAACTGACATGCTAACTAGCATGAGCAACAATTGTTTTTCCCCTTGTTGGCATTTTCCTTTACATTTCTACTAAATCCAAGACTTCAGGAGCAACAACTAGATCACATCACCAGAACTGTCCAATAAATGAGTTACAGTCAGTCATGTGTCTTAAGACTATCTGGATCTGTGTTCCTGTCTGCTTCTGGTCCTCCACAGTCCTCTCCATGAGCTCCTGTTGTTTTGAACTTTGGTTTCTCTTCGTGTTCACTCTTCACAGACACAGGAGTGAGTGTGAACTCCTCCAGCCCTTGAAGCTGCTCTACCTCCTGACTGGTCCAGAGTTCATGAAGCTGCAACACTTGTGATTTCTGAGCTGACAACGCCAAGCAAATCTTTTGCCACAAACGCTGCAGCTGAACGGTTTCTCTCCTGTGTGGATTCTCATGTGTGCCTGTAAAATGTCACATCGTGAAAAACATTTATCACAAATTGAACAGCTGTAGGGTTTTTCTCCTCTGTGACGTTTCAAATGGTAGTCCAAACTTGCTTTTTGAGTAAACGTTCTATTACACAATGGACAACTAAAAGATTTTACTGCTGCATGAGTTCTCGTGTGTATAGTCATACTCACACTTTGTTTAAAAGTTTTACCACACACAGAACAGCCAAATGGTTTTTTGTCTGGATCCTTGCAATAGTCATTACTGTCATCGGTCTTGCACTCAGAAGAGTCTTCAGCCTTGTCAACTGGTGTTAAATGTCTATCTGGTTCTGGTCCTCCACAGTCTTCTCTATCAACTTCTGTACCCATCTGTTCACTTTGACTGTGATGAAGCTGTGAAGACTCACCACCACACTTGTGATTTTTTAGCTGACAACGCCAGGTGAATCTTTTGTCACAAACGCTGCAGCTGAACGGTTTCTCCCCTGTGTGCGTTCTCATGTGTGCCTGTAAAATGTCACATCGTGAAAAACTATTGTTACAAATAGAGCAGCTGTAGGGTTTTTCTCCTGTATGACACGTTAGATGGCTCTGTAGATGTGCCTTCTGGCCAAAACGTTTACCACATAATGAGCAACTGAATGATTTCTCTCCTCTGTGAGTTTTTAAGTGGTTGTCCAAACTTGCTTTTTGAGTAAA